TGTTTTTTTTCTCTTCTTCTTTTCTGAAATGTATGGATAAAGGGGGATTTATAATACTTTTAGTAAGTAAAGGTCAGTATTTTGAGGAGGGAGTAAGTAATCTGTTATGAATTAGGGTTTTTTTTTGTTACGAAGAAGTCACAGGGGGGGAAGGGTGGGGAGGGGGGGTTAGGGAGGGGGGGGGAGGGGGGGGAAAAAGGGGGAAAAATTTGTATTTGAAAACCTTTTCAATAAAAAAAAAAAAAGAAACAAACGTACAGGTTAACATAGAAGGACTTGTTTAAGGACCTGAAATTTCCAGACTCAAGAGACCACCTCAAAGATTAAAGCTTCAGCTTTTGGTAAGAGTGTGTAGAATAACCATTGACTTGAAGCAAAAAATACCTCGTATCCTTATGTGGTCTCTCTATCTCTCTCTCCCTCCCTCCCTCTCTCTGTGTATACAAACATACAAATATTCCCCCTGACATGGCTGCTGTCTATTCTGAGTTGACCTTCTTCCAACTCTTCTAGCAGGCATGTGGTTCAGCATCAGTCCTTCTGTCAAATTCATTTCTTAATATTCTATTTTTAGTCTAAAGGAGATAGAAACTAAGATACAACATGGGCACAGAAGGCTTCAGTGTCAAAGTTCAATGTAAGATGGATTCTACCAAAAAAATGTGTTTTAGGTAAGTCTAGGATGCTCTTACAAAGACCACCCCCCACCCTGTTTATTTCTTACTCCCCAACTTTAAATATGGGAATACGGTTATGAAACAGTGAAACCCAATCAAGTCCAGTCTTTTATGTCCTCCGCCTAATGGACAGAATCTTGCCAAACTAAAATTATAACTCTGTACCCTAATAGATATATTGGGGGAAATTCTAGGGTGTAAATACCTCAAACCTTTTCACTCCTCACCCTTTCAGCTCAGGGTTACGCAGTCTCTTATTCTGAGTCAAAATCCCTCCTTCCAATTGCTTCTCCATGTATCACAGGCTTAATTTTAGTCCATAGATATGTATAATGGTAATTGTGAATTTTGGGTGTTTCACACTGCAAGTGAAACAATGACACTCAAAAGTAATAGAGTGATTTTTTGTTATACTGGAGAAAGCTCTCTAGGTGTGCTGATCATATAGAAATATAATAAATGTAGAGTCCTTGGTGCTGTCCAAGCTTGGTTGTTTCCTTGCAATGGTTTCATTACCTGACTAGACAACATCATCTGTGGTAATGAGTGTAGATTTTGCTCTCTGTTTATATGCAGTGGCTTGCCTTGTCAATTGTGGTGAAGTGGTGGTAGTTTTCTGCTTGTTAGTTTCTTGATTGGGGTATTGTTTTCTGCTTGAGCAGTGTTGGCTGCTGGTGTTTGCCACTGTTTATATGGGTGTTGGCTGCTGGAAAGGATATGTTCTGGTTTTTCTGTTTCTTTCTTAGCCTTTTAATTGTTTTATTTAAACTTCTGTAGCAAGTCAAATGATTTTTAGAAGCTACTTTTAAGATTGCAAAGAATTCTAACTGATTAGCATCATTTATTATCTCACAATACATGGACAGATTTAACCATAGTGTTATCTGGAAAACCATGGGCATCCTATAGACTAAGCTGAATCCAAAAAACACTAGGGAATTTAAAACCACAGGACTTGCTATGGAAACCCAAGAAAACATAAGGCAGACAATCGTACCACAGATCAGAAGAATACAGAATCAGAACCAACTTAGAGCAAAGGACAGAGCAGCCCTCAAAAACCTATAGAAAGACCAAACCATCACCATCCTCCCAGCAACCAAAGGCAAAAATCACAATTTTCATGGATGGTATGTGTTATGTCCATATATGGGGATCCCCGCCGGATTGGCTAGTCCACTGGTGGGAGATTTGAAGATCTGTCATTGGCCGGCTTGCCTGCCGACTCCCTTTATAAGGCGAGCCCGGCAGCACAATCGGCTGTTCTGATTCTCTTAATAAAAGTGCTGAACGGACCACTCGCTGCTTGCGTATTCTTTTTTCCCTGTGCCAATCTAACAGTATGCAATACATACAACAAGCTAAGAATTACCGTAAGACAAAGAAACCTACATCCCCCCCCAAATATCAAACCAATATAGAAACTTGGACAACTTGATTGAGATAACCCTCTATCATTTAACCAATAAAGGTCAAGCAACAAAAGAATAGATGAAAAATAGTAGACCAATCCTTCCATGCGTCTATGAACATACAAAAATAAACAATCCCACAATGCCTCCTTGTCTAATTGTATAGAGACCAAAAACCTCAACATTCAACACAGCCACAGAACTTACCAAAAAGCTTGGACATCTCACAAAGGGGAGAAAATATTTTATTAACTCCCTACAATATTGTCTCCAGAGAATCAAAGCCATGAAAATAGAAGATGAAATTATAGTTTTATTTGATGTCACAGCACTCTTTATGTCCATTGATCCAGAACTAGAGACATTGATCCAGAACTTTTAACATTGTTTAATAATCAAAGAAAACATTTCCAAAACCCCCAAAAAACTCAGAAAAGTGTGGCCATGCCAGGGGTGAAATGCTCCCGGTTCGGATCAGATCGCCCGATCCGGTAGTGATGGAGGTGGGTGGTTCGGAGAACTAGTAGCAAAAATCCCTGTCCCCCTCATTGCCCAGCCGAGCCACGCAATCATCAGAGGCTTTTTTTTTATTTTTAAAAGCATTTTTTCTACAACCTCTTTGGCCGAAAAAATGCTTTTAAAAGTAAAAAAAAAAAAAAAAGCCTCTGATGATCGTGCGACTCAGCTGGGATCATCAGAGGCTTTTAAAAGCATTTTTTCTACAACCTCTTTGGCCAAAGAGGTTATATAAAAATGTTTTTAAAGGGAAAAAAAGCCTCTGCCGATCAGCCAAGTCAGCTGGGATCGTCAGAGGCTTTAATAAAAAAAAAAAGCTTCTGCCGATCAGGCAAGTCAGCTGGGGTTGTTAGAGGCTTTAAAAGCATTTTTTTCACAAATGATTTTAAAAGTAAAAAAAAAAAAGTTGGCCACGCCCACTCAGTCATATTACCCCCCCAAGCCACGCCCACAGAACTGGTAGTAACAAATTTTACATTTCACCACTGGGCCATGCATGCAAGCAACCCAATCAGTCTCTCTTTTCATTGTTGCTCTGCCCATTGTGGTTTTCACCTTGGCAGAAAATGTTGAGTGCAGTAGCTGGCTACCAAAAGACTGATCACTGTCAAACTAGATCAAGGATTGAAGCTCTAGGGACTATAAACCATCCCCACACTAGATAGTTTAAAGCATGGTTGTCCAACCTTTTGGCTTGCCTGGGCCGCAGTGAGTGAAGAAGAATTGTCTGCCTATAAAAAACATATAACTTACTTAACATATATAAATCATGCAATATTAAATGTTTACAGTCTGGTGGAGCCACATTACTAACTATCTAGGGCTCTATGTGGTTTGTGGGAGACAGGTTGGATATGCTTGGTTTCATCCTCCACTATACTGCCATGCTGGGAACAATATTGGTCAGGGGTGTCAAACTCAAGGTCCAGGGGCCAGATCCCTGCCCACAGGGTGCTTATATCTGGCTCATGGGGCCACCCTGGAAACAGCGAAGGACCGGCCCGCAGTGCCTTTGCCAGCAAAAAGGGAGCTCGGGAGGGCTGTGTGCAGCCCTCCCGAGCTCCATTTTCGCTGGCAGAGGGTTGCAGGAGGCTGTCTCAGCCAAAAATGGGGCTCACAAGGGCCGCGGGCAGAACTCCCAACTCTGTTTTCGCTGGCAGAGGGTTGCAGGAGGCTGTTGCAGCTGAAACAGAGCTCAGGAGCCCATTTTCACTGGCAGAACGCTCAGGCCACCACGGACCCCCAACATGAGTAACGTCAAACTGGCCATGCCCACCCCAGCGCCCCAAAGCCAAACACAACCCTCATATGGTCCTCAATGAAATTGAGTTTGACACCCCTGATATTGGTCATGAGAAGTCTAATTCATCTAAGGATACCATGTTTGAAATGCCTGTACTAGAGCACTACTGCTAGCCAGATTGAATAGAATGTGTCAAATGAATACATCAATTAACCAGGTATAGTGCATATTATTGTTTGTCATTGCTTACGTATATCATATGGATAAGAAGAGATGTTAAGTTTCTTTCTGCTTTGGTGCCCCAACTGAGAAAATGCATATTGTAAATATGTGTGGATTACACTAGTTAACCAACGTTAATGTGATATATGACTGAAGCTGAAGTTATGATGGGCCTTCTCTAAGTAGCTTCAATTACTCAAGTGATCTCTTGAGAAGGGAATGAGGGCAAATGTTGAAATTATTCCAAATTGCTAGTTGAACTTACGATCTGGCTCCATGTGGGAAGCGTGGGCAGCCCAACACATTTTCTTGCAGGTATACAAGGCCATTTTACTGATAGCTCTAACTAATTTTAGCTTGGGAAAACAAACAACTGTGGTTTTATTCAAAAACTGCAGTCATAACTACGTCTTGAGTGACCTCTTAAGTAATCTTGATTCTGACCTCTTTCCCTCGATCACCTTCCACAGTAGAAAAATGGACTGAAATGCCCTCTCTCAATTCAAGTGGGGGGAAGAAAGTAAATATCATATATATGACACTACAAGATGAAACAGGTAAATTTGAATTTAGTTACAGATTAGCCCTTAACATAAGAACGATTCAATTTATAATATTTATAAATCTTAATTATAGCAATAATTAATTCCATATCTGTGTTTATGCTATTCTACAATATATTATGTCACATGCAGTCTTAAATTACAGGGGGAGGAAAAGGGTCTTGGGGCAGAATTGTAATATGCAAATTAATAATTGATTAAGAGGTTACATCACTTCTTGCAACTTCTAGGAACAAAAATGCTCTTTTCAAATAATATCTTTTTAAGCCTGTCTAAAACAAATGGCATTAGAATCTCTAATGTATATCTGCTTGCAATTTATAATTATTAGTACAATAAATTCAGGTTAAAAATATTTCATTCTTACCTATTCTTTCAAAGTGGATCTGTGCTTGTGTTATGAAATAGAATGTGACTTTCATTTTTGGAAAAGGGACCTGTTAATGGATGTTTTCAATGGGGTAAATAGAGGTAGTGGATAATCCCATAATAGTTCTTGCTACTCATTAGCCTTTGATCTGCGTCTCCACTTAACTGTCATGGTGAATTTCTATCCTGCCTATGTGAATTCTATGGTGGCTTTGGTGCAAGAAAATGTGCAAAAATCTGCAAGGAATAAAACATTTTAGTAAGGAAAAAAGGTATATAGTAGAGCAATTACATATATAATATTAACTGTATATGTAGTGCATTTCATATAAGAATGACACAAATATAATCAACTCCTTATTTCAAAGAAAATCTTAATTTTGCTTGCAAAACTTGGTACTTATCCAATCCAAGCTTTTTTAAGATTGGCCAACTGCCAGAGTCAGAGGGAGTTGGATGCATATAATCTAATAATAATAGTCCCCCCAGTGAGGCACTACCTTGATGTGGTTGTGGGACTTACAATAAGCTCTGAGGAGGATGAGAGCTATGACAAAGGCTCAACCATACTGGACAGGTCACATCAGAGGAGCCAGAAAAGGAGTGTTTCTTCTATAAACAATATGGTGAGACATAATTTACAGAAACTCAGGATTGTTGCTCAAGTCAGCAAGGACTACCCTAGCTGTATTGTGTTTTGTGTTGGAATTCCTGGACATCTGGTGACAAATAGGCTACAGGATTTAGGACTGTTGGCTGAGTAACCAGGGACAGCTGCTGAACGACTACTGGAAGAAAAATTGTTTATTCTTCACAAATATACAAAAACTGAAAAGAAAGAAATAATATTCTGCTATTACAAATCAAGTTCAGCAAGAAGAGGATATCTGGCAAGAATGCACAATTCTGGAAAGAACAACTTCCAGAATCAGAAATAACAAAACAGAGGATGGCAGTTTGACATTGATTTATAATTCAAAATAGATACACCATAATATATATATATATATAAAAGCAGTGGTGAAATGTAAAATTTGTTACTACTGGTTCTGTGGGATTGGCTTGGTGGGGTGGGATGGGGTAATGTGACTGAGTGGGCGTGGCCAACTTTTGTTTTTAATTTTTAATTTTTTTAATTTTAAAAAAATTTTAAATTTTTATTTTTTCTATAACCTCTTTGGCCGAAGAGGTCGTAAAAAAATGCTTTTAAAAGCCTCTAACGATCCCAGCTAAATTGTCTGATTGGCAGAGGCTTTTTTTTCTTTTAAAAACCTCTGACGATCCCAGCTGAGCCACGGGATCATCAGAGGCTTTTTTGTACTTTTAAAAGCATTTTTTCGGCCGAAGAGGTTGTAGAAAAAATACTTTTAAAAATAATAAAAAAGCCTCTGATGATTGCATGGCTCAGTTGGCCTTGGGGGGGGCCAGGGATTTTTGCTACTGGTTCTCCGAACCACGCGCCCCCATTGCTACCGGATCGGGCGATTTGGTCCGAACTGGGAACATTTCACCCCTGTATAAAAGCAAAATCCACCCACTCATAACGAAATCTCCAGAACGGTAAAGCCTACAAACCTGAAATTTGGCATGTACATTTTTCTTGGCTTCTAGGTGCTTGCTAAGAAAGGATTTTTCGAAATGACCATCAGATCATTAGTATTTCATATACAATATATTCATATACAGTATATTAACAAGCTCTGATGCTAAGGAGTTAGACGTTCTACTCCCCCTCCCGACCTGAAAAGTTCCAACTGCCATTTGCCTCACATTCCGTTACCTCAGTTCAAACTGGCAGACATTCCACTCCTTCACTCAGGAGAGGTCTGGGGCTCCTTACAGTACTAAACGTCCCTACCTCACCAAAATGTCTATGCCTTCCACCTATGGAACTGCTTCCGGACTCAAGGTGGCGGGAGAGATATTCCCTTATGAGTTTCAATCACTGACCACCACTGAGCCAACAGATTATGAACCGAATTTCTCCTGCATAGTGTCCCAGCCCCAAATCACTTCTAACACTGACCTCCTCAGTTCAGACAAATCTGTTCCTTCTACTGTAACACCAGTTAAAGGAAAAAGAGGGAAAAAACACAGGAAAAGATTTATAGATGCAGTTAGGAAAACACAAGTAAGGGAAGCTGCAAAAAAGTATCGTCAAAGTCATCCCGAAGTCAATAGAGAAGCTGTAAAAAATGCATCTAATAACTGCTACATTAATAAGGCAGCTATAGCTAAATATGCCAACATTCAAAGTGCAGGGGCAGGTCTACCACAGTATCATGGCGGAGCCTCAGTATACTTTATTGGCGATGATGACAATGCGAGGAACATCCGTTATGGAATCTACCCGGGCGTTACTCCAGAATTGGTTAGTTCAATTTATCATGCCCAATCACATAGTTTCATAGTGAAGCATGGCTATCCAGCTAGTATCAAACATAAGCACCAGACCGCTGAAATAAATAAATAACTGATGCATGACATGATTGCAGTTATAACTGAATACCTTGGCTGCAATGTCAACAAATAAGAAAAAACAACAACCAAACAGTGCACCACCAAGATCAACTTGGAAAATAAGATCAGCAAGCTGAGATCAGATGCAAACAATCTAGAATAGGTGGAAGAAAAGAAGCTGAAGAACAAGAAGACCAAAGAACACCTGATCACAAACAAGGGAGTTTGTGACCTACAAGAAACAAGGAAAATAAAAGAAGCACTGGAAATAATAATAAAGCAGTAAATAACAGCTACAGCTAACGAGATCAGCAGGTACAAAGCTTGAATTGCACAGCGTAGCAGAATCTCCAATTTCAATTGAATCATAAATGTTTCCATCAATCCATTAATGGAGAGACTGCAATGAACCAATCAACACCTAGGGTGACAAATGTTCTGGGTAGGACCATGAGACAACCCAAGGAAATACAAGAATGCAGCTTGGATAAAGGAGATGGATAAGAATAAAAAAGAAGCTATAATGAAGAGAAGAGCCGAGGTGGCGCAGTGGTTAGAGTGCAGTACTGCAGCTACTTCAGCTGACTGCTAGTTCAGCAGATCAGTCAATCAAATCTCACCGGCTCAAGGTTGACTCAGCCTTCCTCCTTCTGAGGTGGGTAAAATGAGGACCCAAATTGTTAGGGGGCAATATGCTATTTAGTATACTGTCTTTGGTGGGAAGCTGCCCAGAGTCCTCGGAGAGTGGGGGGCATAGAAATATGACTAATAAATAAATAAAGAAAGAAAGAACTTGTAATAACAGAACAGAGGAAAGGTCAAGGAAGATTAAGAATTGGTCAGCACCAGACGAAGATGAACTGCATGTTTTTGGCTGAAACATCTGACTAGTCTCTTGTTGCCAAGTAGTTTAACAATATTTTGTTAAACAATATTTAACAATATTTTGCAAGGAATGGTCCTAAATAAAGGACGACCTATATCTGTTTTAAGCAGTGACTTTCACTCCAATATCAGAGTGGATTGTCAATTGCCCCAATTTTACATAATTGATGAGGCTGGAAGGTAGTAATTAACTCTGGTGCATTTCATGACAGCCTGAATTATGGCGAAGTGTTTCTGCCTGGCCACACTCTGAAGATCATGAGCATGATTATTTAAGAAAGCTTTTCATAGCCTTCTGCGATAACTTCCCCAAATAGTTCAAAGAAATCACTTTTCAAGGTATGATTTAATATGCACAGGAATTCTAGCTTTTCCTGAGTGACGCAATTCTCCTTAGAAATTACTCATCTGTTTGCAACTATTGGTTGCAACAGTTTATCTGTTCCACATACAGGTGGAAGAAGGAGACCCATGACTCCGAAAGACGTGAGATAGAAGTCAAACAGAAGTCAAACAGAACCCGCACTGCATATTGGACATTAATACAATTGAGAGAGTCCAGAGATATTTCACGAGAAGAGTCCTTCACTCCTCTGTCTGCAACAGAATACCTTATGCCACCACTTGAAATTTTGGGCTTAGACAATTTAGAACTACACCGCCTTCGGTCTGACCTTAGCGTAGTACATAAAATTATCTGCTACAATGTCCTACCTGTCAATGACTACTTCAGCTTCAACCACAATAATACACGAGCAAATAATAGATACAAACTCAAGGTAAACAGCTCCAAACTCGATTGCAGAAAATATGACTTCAGCAACAGAGTAGTCAATGCCTGGAATGCAGTACCTGACTCTGTGGTCTCTTCCCCAAATCCCCAAAACTTTAACCTTAGATTGTCTACTGTTGACCTCACCCCATTCCTAACAGGTCTGTAAGAGGCGTGCATAGGTGCACCAATGTGTCTACCGTCCCTGTACTAATGTCCCATCCAGGGGTGGGTTCTAAATTTTTTTACTACTGGTTCTGAGGGCGTGGCTTATTTTGTGGGGGTGGCTTGGAGGTCATGTGACTAGGTGGGCATGGCTAGCTGGTCAGAGTCATTTCTGGAAGGTCCTCGCACTTACGATCAGTCCTCGCATTTACGACCCGACTCATTTGTTTGCTTTTAACACTGATCAGCTGTAGGACGGCCCTTTGAAGCCCCGCAGCAAGAGTTTAAACAGTTTTTTCCCCGCTAGTCATCAGCTGGGACTCAGGAGGCAGCAATAGATTGGGGGTGGAACCAAATAAAAGGTAAGAATAACGTGGGGGGGTGGGGGGGTGGGAGGGCGGGGGGGAGAACCGGTTCGGTGATGTCATATCGTCACTGCTACCGGCTCGGCCGAACCGGACCGAACCGGGAGGAACCCACCAATGGTCCCATCTCATGTATTCATAATCATGTTTATACATTTCATGTATTCACAATCATGTTTATACTTTTATCTTTAATCTTATATATGCTTGACAAAATAAATAAATACATAAATACAATAAAAAAAGTCTCCAGAAAGAGGGACATAACAGCAGATGCTATTTATATCAAAGGTTACAGCTTAGATTGTCTGTTCAGATGCTTTTCCTGTTAAGCTTGGATGAAGGCTTTTCACTATATTGACCTTAGTCATTTGTCAAAGTGTGTGCGTGTCTCAAACCTAGAAAATGCCAAGTCATGTCCATG